TCTAAAATTTAATTTTAAAAAAATGCAGGAGCTAACATGCTCTAAAATAAGCACAAACACCATCTATTGACTAAATAGAGTAAATACCCCTGGACTGAGGAAAAACACAAGCAGTCTCCAAATCTACCCTACCCTCTAGTGGTAAATCTATTTAACTGCATAACTCATTTGAAATTAATTGTGAATATGAAAATGCTATTTTAAATAACAATAAGTGTTTTTCTCATAGGGTTATTAGCTGCACGACTCTGGCCATTTATGGAATTAACTTAATAAAACAAAACACTACCAGATTCACAACAATTCTGATATTCTTTATTAATGGTATTGATTTCTGGACCTATGTATAATCTGAAAGCTCTAAATAATACCTGGTCATTTAAATTCAATTTTGACTTAAAAAACTTTTTACAGCTGAAGAAACTGAGTATGTTACAGTATATGGAAAAATAAAATAAAGAAAAGGATAAACGGGAGAATAAGAAAATTATCAGCACTTGTTATATGACACCCAACATCTGTGCTTCGGTTCGTGAATGTTGTTGCTATAATGTCACTAATATTATTGCCATTAAATACAAGGTTACCATTACAGTTATTAAGATACTATCAGAAGCAGAGTTTTTTCTGTATTATTTCAATTATTTCCTCCTTTTTTTCATATCTGGATAATCTGAAGTTGAAAATAGCTAAGGTTTCTCTGGAGTAGAAATATAAAAGTCAAGAAGCTCAATCACATTGTAAGATGTGAGAATTGTCTCTAATAAGAGATATGTTATTTACTAGATTTAATCAAATAAAATACAAGTATAAGTAGTCTGGAATAGTGAGTTGCTGATTATAATGCATAGCCCAATGAAACAAATCAACAACAGAGCAACAAAACGTCATCTGTTTAATAGACTCAAAACAGTGGTTCTCAAAGTAGGGCTTCCTGGCTAGCAGCATCAGTATCATCTGGTAGCTTGTTTGAAAAGCAAATTCCTAGATTTGTCCCAGACTTTGTGCATAAGGAACACAGGAGGTTGACTTCAGCAATTTGCATCTAAAAACTCCTACAGGTGATTCTTGTGTACCCTAAAGGCTGATGCTGGGAGCCTGTTCTCCAGGGCATTTCTTCACATCTCAGATCAGTTTTTGTCCCAAACTGTCTTTTCAAGGATGTTTGTGTAGTGAATAGCCTTGAGAGCCAGAGGTAGGGTCTCCCTCCAGTGAGGAGAGCAGGTTTGGTTCTGACCAGTATAATAAAGAAGATATATCTGGGGTTTTCCTAAACTTGGGATTCCTCATAGACCCATGGTGTGTGCAACATCTACCTGGGCCCACTTCTGCATCACCCCTGTGGGACTTGGGGATCAAGGATAATGTGAAGGTCATGTAGTGTGCTGTGCTACAAGTCTTTTGTCTCTGACCCAAGGGTTTCCTGTCTTTTGCCAGCAACCCCAGAATTGTGGCCGGCTTCCTTGTTATCTTGTAAAACTTTTCACAATTATTTATAGTTTGCAGCTACTGAACCAGAATACTCAATTAAAATGAACCCTCTCACTTTAGTCACTTCTCTGTGCAGGTGTCAAGGAGAGCCTTTCCTGACTACTCTGTTTAAAATAGTGCCTTGTATCATCCCCACTCCCTTATCTACTATATAAATCTGCTATATTTTATCAGCAATTATTCTTATCTGATATCATAATATGCTTATATTTTGTTATCAAGTTCTGCCATTACAATGTAAGCTCCATCAAGACAAGCACTTTTGTCTTTTGTTCCTGTACTCAGAATAGTGGTTTGATGAGCATGTATTAAATACATTGAATATATTAAATATAAATATTTATGAAATGAATATTGATATTACACATGATTTAAATTTATTACCGGGCACAGCGGTTCATGCCTGTAATCCCACCACTTTGGGAGGCTGAGACAGAGGGATCGCTTGAACCCAGGAGTTCAAGACCAGCCTAGGTAATACTGTGAGACCTCATCTCTACAAAAAACTCAGAAAATTAGCTGGGCATGGTGGCACATGACTGTAGCCCCAGCTATTAGAGAAGCTAAGGTGGGAGGATCACTTGAGCCCAGGAGGTCGAGGTCATGGTGAGCCGTGATCATGCACTCCAGCCTAGGCAACAGAGTGAGACCCCCGACTCTGCTAACAAATGAACCAATTAGAATGTAACAATTTTCTTTCTCCTGATGAACTACTGGGTCTGTGTGAAAAGCAATAGCCTCTGACATCCTAAAAGGAGAAAGCTAGCCATATGAGCCTCATTTTGAAAGAATACAATATGGTCTATAAAATAATTTTTTTAAAATCAACCATATTGCAATAATATATTTGACAAAATAAGAATAAAAAAATCTTAATCTGATCAAGGCTATAATTTACAGGACTTGTTCTCAACTGGAGATGGTGGGCAATTTTGCCCCCAATGTGATATTTGGGACTGTCTGGAGACGTAGCTGATTGTCACAACTTGAGTGTATGTGTGTGCTACTGACATCCAGCCAGAGATGCGGCTAAACATCCCATAATACCCAGGATAGCCCCAGTAACAATTTTAAAAAATTATCTTCAGGGTTGAAAATCACCCATTGGGTATAATGTTTACCATTCAAGTGATGAGTACACTAAAAGCCCAGACTTCACCACTATAACAATATATCCTTACAACAAGACTGTACATGTACCCACTGAATCTATAAAATTTTTTTTTTAAATATTGGATGAGGGAAAAAAGTGACCTTGCCAAAAATGTCAATAGTATTGAAGTTAAGAAGCCCTGGGTTACATGAAATATGAAAAGAGGCAAACATGCTTAGTGATATGACTAGAATATAATCGGCAAAATCCCAATGGTATGAAACTATAGCACAAAAGTTATGAAAAACAACAACAACAAAAATGCAAAAGCAAAAGGGACCTACAGACCTAGAGACAAGAGACACATTAACCAATAAATGATAAACTTCCTATTTGAATTTCAATTCAAATAAACTGTATTTTGACATTTAAGAGACAATTGAAAATTTGAGTACTGACTCAACATTTAATGTTATTTTTAAAGTTTGGGATGTAATAACAATACTATTATGTTAAAAAGAGAGCATATCTTTTAGAAATTCCTCCTGAAATATTCATGGGTGACATATGTGATATCTGAGATTTGCTTCAAATTAATGTGGGAGAATAGTAGTCTATAAAATTGGTCTATAAAATAATTTTTTTTAATCAACCATATTGCAATAATATATTTGACAAAATAAGAATAAAAAAATCTTAATCTGATCAAGGCTATAATTTACAGGACTTGTTCTCAACTGGAGATGGTGGGCAATTTTGCCCCCAATGTGATATTTGGGACTGTCTGGTACAGCTGAAACAAGATTGGCTACATATTGATAATAGTTGAAACCAAGTAGTCAGTACAAGGGGTTTATTAAACTATTCTGTCTAATATTGTATGTGTTTAAAGTTTTCTACATGAAGAAGGAAAAAGACAGTAATTACTATGGGGGTTAAAGGAAAGACATTATTCAAAGTTGACTCCAAAGTCTCACTCCCTGGTGATTGGAGAACATCATTTATTGACATTCATGAGGCTCAGAGAAGTGAAAATGATAACTTTGGGTTTGAAATGTTTGAGTTTAACATGTCAATAAGTTACCCAAAAGGTTATTACAGGTGGAAATAAACTCTTGAAGATCAGCGTATATGTTGACAGGCCAGAGTAACAAATGAGATATTAATAAAGCTGGTGTGGGAGTAAGATAGTATTTACTTGTGTTCAAAACCAAAATCAAAACTGCCTATATATGCTGAATACAGACTAAAAGAAAAGCAGTTAACTGAAAAAGCATAAGAGACTATAAGAATATAATGCTTATTCTTTTCTTGAGAAGGTAGAGTTGATGAAATAGCTGAGTTTTCAACTGGTTACACCACCGTGAATACTTGTCACTACTCACTGAGATTCTAATGTCAATTTAGTAAAATATGCCAACAAAATTCACTGAGATTTTGAAATAAAGGATCCAAAATTATCTTCTTTTAGCAATGTCTTGTTGCTACTTTAAAAATAAAGGGGAGAGTTTAAAATAAATAAAAAAGCGTTGGGCTTCTAGAAAGGCTGAAGGATATGACAACATAATAAAAATTAATAGATTTTTGTGAATACTCACTATGTTTTATACACTATGCTGGGTGCAAGATAATCTTTCTCAGTTATATTTTATACATTAAACCCTAATGTATAGGGTTTAATGTATAAAGCCATAATAAGTGGGATCCAGAAAGCTTAATTGCATCAAATATGAAGTCACAATTTTGTGGGATTAATAGAATTTCTCAGGTAAGCTATGCTTTCTGGAAATTTTGAAAGTTTGGGGGAATCTTTTTTTGGAGGGGGCATCAACTGGTGGCAGTTTACATTTTGATTTTTGTATTAATGAGCATGTCTCTGCATCCTGTGGTTATAAGGACAGTGGCAGGGATTTCAAAAACAGTTTGGTTAGCTGGTGCCTGTTTTGTGGTTGAGGCCCAAGGAGACGAGGGCAAAATAATGGTTGAGCCCATTATTTACCTCAATTTTCTGAGTCAGGGTTGGGGTCATCTACTTCCTTCCAAGCTATCCTTGTTCTCCTTTTCCTGAAAAGTGAAAGTGAGCTGACCTCAATTCTGTTTGTCTCCCAGCTGGCCTTTCCATGAGGTTAAAACAGCAAAGGAGCAATTGATATCCCCACTGTATAGATGGAGAGATGGAACTTATCGACACTAGAAAGCAATATTCTCTCAGTATTGAGCATACAAAAGACAGCACTGTCTTTTGGCAACAATCATGGTTCATGGCTCATTATCTAATTTGAGTTTAGAAGAACAACTGAAGATCACAAGGGAAGTTTCATCTTCCCGGGAATGTGTTCTCTCAGGTGTTTCTGGATAAATTTCCAAGTGAAAAATGAAATTGATTTAAAGTTTAAAAAAATGGCAAATGCAAAGATTTTTGATGCCAATATATTTCTAAATTCAAAGTTACAGAAAGAAGCACAGTATTTCAAACATTATAGAAAACTATGTATGAGAGAAGAAAGTATTTTTTAAAATGGATAATTCTTTAAATCCAGAACTACTTATTATCTTCTGCCATCATAGAAACAATTTCATTGTAAACTTCTTGAGGGGCATCCATCGCCCAGATAAAGTCCAAGTGGTTATAAAAAGGAATCTTCTTGTGGTAAATGAGATTAGAAAGTTTTGGAAGCAACATGCCAACATCTTGGGGGTCAGCCAGCCAGTCATTGCCACCATTCCACACTGCAATTGGCACATTCATGGCTGTCACATTGTAGTACGGGGGTGTGGGCTAAAAAACACAAGAGAAAGAATCAGAGTTTAGGTGTAACCACACTTTAGACTCAATATTCTGTGTATGGATTGTGCAACTCTGACTTCGTTTTATAAGTAAATTCTGGTGACGACTGCTCAGTAGGCATCACTTTTATCCACAGAGCACAGTGGATGTGTTGTTTTAGGACAGTGCTCCTCAAACTCTAATGGGCCTGTGAATCACCCGGAAGTCTTGTTAAAATGAAGATTCTGATCAGTAGACCTGAGGGGATGAGCTTGAGTTTCTGCATTCAGAGGTGATACTGATGCTCCTTGTCACAAATCATGCTCTGAATGGCAAGGCTTTAGGTTACAATTTTTCCAACTTTATAACTGAGATTTCTACTCAAGCTAAAGGAATTGGATATGATTACATTCCAGCTGAAATAGGTTGTTTCTATCCAGACACTCTAAAGTATGATCTCCTCAAAATGCCCTGAGTTATTTATTTTGGTTTTGTATTAAGGTCCTCATATGGTCAGTGGACAGGTCAGTTGGTTCTGTTAAGGATTTATATTTGTCAAACATTTACCTGGTTTTTACAAAATATTGCTTCAAGTTTTGAGAAAGGGTATGAAAATGGACATTTCTAGAAAATGTCCATTTACACATAGATTTCAAAGAGATTTATAAAGCAGAAAAAGGAACAAAAGAATTACCTCCAATTTTCTTGCTGTCTAGAGATAATTTTGTTAGTTTTTTAGATCCCACTTTCAAGAATAGTAGTACAATATAATAAAAGTTTCTCTATTCTCACCTTATGAGTCAACTTGGCATAGCAAAATATTTTATTATATGCATTTTCCTAATATTTTAACACTTCTTTTATATTCCCTATATATTAGAGAAAAAATAATGTAAAAATTCATAATTATGAATCCATTTTTTAAACTTATATCTCATTGTTCAAAGAATTTTCTAGATACTGCTCTGTTTTTTTAAATAGTGTTACTGCTTTGGTTTGCTGAAGACTAACCTGAACTGTTACTGACTTTGTTGGAAGGAGGGTGGACTTGGGGACTGGATATTTCAGGTCTCACTTGGCCCTCTAAGATGAAGTCTGCTGATCACTAGCATTGCAGTCCAGTAGAAAGACAGATTCAAAGCAAGCCTGTGTTTCGGGGATTTGAAAAGGTGATGGTTGGGGGAAAAAATTGTCTTCAACAAAAGTTTGATCTCACGGTACTCTGAAAACTTCTTTAAAGACACCAAAAATGCAAAATAAAGGGGAGGGTCTTCTCTACCCACAGGACATTATTGTCAAAGCATATAAATCCCTTCAAAATTTTGAGACATGGAAACAGATGAAAATGAATAGGGTGTTTTGCTTCTACGTGAATGGAAAAGCTGGATATGGGTATAGAGCAAAAAGAGAGGGTGTTGTTTTCTTCTAAATTAATGCAGGGTGCTTCTTTTATTCAAAATTAATTAGCGGTAAGCTAAGAGGTTACCCTCAAGCTGAGGGCTTGTAGATATCATCCCCTTAAATCCTATTAACAACTCCCTGAGCCTAAGTTGAGAGACAAATTATTATCCAAATTCATTGTGGATAAAATGAACTCCACAATCTGGATTCTTTGTATGACAACAAATGTGAGGACTGCTTAATGGGTTTCTCTATGCCACAAGGCCCCTGCCTTCTGAAAACTATTTCCAACCTTAACCCATAAGCACACCATCTTTGTCTTCTCTATAAAATATGATCCAGTGAACTCACTCCTCTGGCTGTCATCAAAGGAGAGGGTATAGTTTAAGAAGATCAGAAATTTCAGCTCTATCTCATGAACAGTCACAATTGTTAGCTATTATATGAGTTTGCTGTGCTCCAGAAAGGAGTGAATAGTGTACTGGGGAACCAGGATGCCAGGCAAGTCTGTGCAATGGTAATGGATGATGCTTAAGTCCTGGGGAACATCTCACGCGAGGGATGTGGTACTTTGAGGGCAGCTTCAGTGAGCACAGTCTCTGGAGCATGAATGCATGGTCATGTGGGATAATAGGAGTCTGGGTGCCAACATTCCTTTGGAAAACAGATGCACAGTTAATATGCTTTCTTCTTCAAAATTTTTTATATTTGTTTTTCAAACATGAATAGATTCAACTCCAGGAAGCTCACCTGATTATAGTGCATCATGTTCTGAACTGGGTTTCCCCATTCAAAAGCTTGGAATTTCCCAGAATTGACAGCCTACGTAGAAAGATTAAAAGCACAGAGAAATAAAAATTATCCTTATCATGTGAAAAATAAAATCCAAGCATTTCCATGCCGCTTATTTTCAACTTAAACAATTAATAAAGATATTTTTCTCATTCCAAAAGAGATTATTAATCATCTAGGAAAGGGTATTTATGTAAGTTTAAATGCAGCTTTGCTTGAAATAATTTTTTTGCATGCCACCTTATAAAAGCATTCATTTTTTTTGCTACCCAAAGCACCTGTTTTTATAAGACTTTTATTCACATGGATTTATAGTTATTTTTATATGGTAGTCATATGCCAGAAAAATTACCTGCCAGGTGCACTTGGAAGAAGATTTTAAGAATGTGCTTTTAGGTAAAGTGCAAAGGGTTCAGGCCCACAAAATACATTTTAAAAGCATTTGGAAAATGATACCTGACTCCAGTGAAGGATGTTTTGAACAGAAGTTCCTGCTGGATTGTGTGATATATACACATCCAAGCGACTCTAGAAAACAAACACACACATACACAGGCAGACTTAGACACATTTTCAGTTCCTCAAAAACAGCTAAGATTTAAGTTTTTGATTCTGGTCAAATGTTTAAGGGCAGCATTTACTGGAAGGATAAGCAACACATTTGTATATCACTTTAGAGTTTGCAAAATGAAAATACATGTGTTAACTTGATTTGTAGCCTCTCAACGAAAAGAGTTTATTATTCCCATTTTATTAAAATAAAAAATTGAATCTGAAGGAAGTTCAATAAGAAATGAGAATGTCAAACGAGAGAAATGTCCAATGCCAAACAGAATGGAGTCAGAGAGTTTGCTCTGAGTCTGTGTCTAAATTCCTGTCTTTTGTTATTCACTACCCTGTGTTGGAGTACAGTAGATGACATATTCCCACACAAACCTCTTGCATTAACATATGTGATAGTCATATATATGATAGTCATTATATGTATTTTTCAGTTATGCTATGCTTTTGTGACTCTAATCTACCTTGCACAGACCCCAGACAGCAAATTGAAGTCCCCTTCTCAGATTGCATAGGCCAAGTCATAGTGGCTCTTAATTTAAATAATAAAAAAGGCTTATGGCTGATGTCAAACAAATTGATCATCTTCTTAGGGAACTCAAGCTTCTCTTCTGCATAATTATTATGCAGAAGATGAAATCCCTAATTTCCATGGCTCTTCACATCTGTATTTTACTATTATCTTTCTTATATGACTCTCACTGACACAATGCAGTCATCTGTACTGCCTTTTCTTTTTTTTTGAATTGGAGTCTCACTCTGCTACCCAGACTGGAGTGCAGTGGCCGCTTCCGGCCACCGCAGCCTCAACCTGCTGGGCTCTGGGGATCCTTCCGCCTCAGCCTTCCGAGTAGCTGGAATTACAGGCGCGCTACCACCCCCGGCTCATTTTGATTTATTGTAGAGATGAGGTCTCACCAAGTTGCCCAGGCAGGTCTCGAACCCGCGGGCTCAGGCGAGAGATTACAGGCTGAGCCACCGAGCCCGGCTTGTACTACCTTTTCTTAGTGTAATGAGAAAAGGTTACTCTGTTGAGCTCTATATATGGAATAACAAACGTCCCCAGAATCTTGGAGAGGAACTCCCTTCTAAGAGAGGAAGAAGGAGTCTTTTTTTAATCATCCTAAGTAGATCATACATATATAAATAAGTAAATATTTTACGTATATGTAATCCCCAGAGATAATCACCAGCATAGAGAAAGAGAACTGAATTTCCTTGACCTCCATGAAACCAGGAACCATATTTGTCTTTTTTACCACTGTGTTCTCAGTAACTACAACACTTCATAGAATTATACCCTCTTATCAACAAACTTGATTTTCTTAGAGTTCATGGGTATATAACTAAACTGGCAATTTTGAGTAAGGATAGCTCTCTACATATAATAGCAGCAAAATTTGTATGATAGTGCTATGTACTCTATGATTTATACTGGGTTCTATATGCTTTACGTATGTTAGCTCATTTGATCTTCACAATACCTCATTTTGTAGATAAAGAAACCAAGACAGAGGAGTTTAAGTCTGTTCCAAAGGTGGGATGTGAATTTAAGCTGACCCGAATCCATACTCTTAAACTACTTTATGAAACTTCATTTTGTTACTTATGTTTTAAAATCCCAGTTCAATGCAAAGCAAGTGAGAAGGTAGATAAAAAATGTGAACAGGGTCTTACATAAATAGTTGCTCTGAAATATGGTTTATAAAATTTATGGAGATAGCTATCAGCATTAAAAATATTTATAAGAACATTCATTCAATGCCTAGACATTGTTCTCATGGAGGAGTCTACCAAAATATATGGTTCGGTGCTTTCTCTCACAGAATTTAAATGTCATACTAGGCCGGGGTCAGTGGTTCAGCCTGTAATCTCAACACTTTCGGAGGCCAAGGCAAGTGGATTGCCTGAGCCTGAGGGTTCAAGACCAGCCTGGGCAACATGGGTGAGACCTTGTCTCTACAAGAAATCAAAAAATTAGCCGGGTGTGGTAGTGTGCGCCTATAGTTCTGGCTACTTGGAAGGCTGAGGTGGAAGGATTGCCAGAGCCCGGCAAGTTGACACTGGGGTGGCCATGAATGTGAGACACTTTGGGAGGCTGAGGCAAGTGGATTGCCTGAGCCTATTTTGAGTCTCACTCTGAGACTCCAACTCAGAAATAAATAAATGAGACTCCAATTCAGAAATAAATAAATAAATGTCATCCCAACAATTTTGGTGGTCACAAGTGAGTAGTGAGTTGTTATTTTTTTTCACATGTTGCTTATTTACTTTAGGGTTAATTAGGATGATAGAAGAAGGAAGTTGATGAGGACAAAATGGGAGCAATGACTTGTGTTTATCAGGATATCATGAACACAATTCTGAAGCTGTTTCTTGTTTTTATAAAGTCCCATTTCTAAGTAATAGTGAAACAAGTAATCAAAGATGTTGCTCAAAATGCATACAAACCACGTTCAAGTTCTTATTGTCAAATCCACAAATGATAAACAAGGCATTGCTGCAAATGACATCCAGTGTCTGACGGGAGCACACTTCAGTAGCAAGAAATTGATCAAAGAAGTTATGCGGATAGAATATTTTGTCACCAAATATAATCTGAAAAATAAAAGCATTATTAGAGAATTGCAGCGAACCACTTCAGAAAAAATTCCATAATTTGCCTAATCTATGTATATAGGTGTGATTTGGGGAGTGATATATTCTTATTTTTATATTTTAATACTTTCTGTCATTTAATGCACCCAATAACATTGTGAAATAGACAGGGCAGATATCAATGCTGGATATCTATTGTTGCATCAAGATCTGTATTGGCTGTTGAGAGGAAGAATAAAGCAGAGTTACAATCTGGGGGACAAGAGTTATGGAATAAAACAATAAAACAAGGCAAACTGTCATAATTAAGTGCCAAGATATGTTATTTTAATGATAAATTGTGAAAAGATCAGGAGGGGAAATGGTAACTCGGCCATTTTTTCAGTAAAGCCTTTAGGGAGGCAATAAGGCTCAGTTTAAGATTTGAAAGGACTTTTCCCAACTCTTTTTGAGGAAAGCAAGCATTTTGTTATCTTCATTTTACACACAAGGAAGCATGAGGTTAATATGAGTCAGAGTCTTAAGCTAATTAGAGTTGGATTATACCTAAAATCCTAATCCAAGCCTCTGACTTAGGGTCTAATGCTTAAAAAAATTTTTTTTAACCACTCTCTGCTTTGCCTATCAGAAAATCTGAGTACAAGCAAGAAATAAGTTCTGGGTCAATGCAGCCAGTAAAAAAAAACTCAGGGTCATCTCAAAAGTTCAGACTTTCAATACAGGTTGTTTTACAAATCTAGTTTGATTATAGAAGGTCTCTTAAGTTTAGACATACGTGATCATACGTAGTGAAAAGAAATGAATAGTACAAAACCAAAGAGGAAATGATATCATTGTATTTTATATCCTGAGGCTCTATGGCTAAACCACTCTCTTCAAGAAAGGGGTGTGTGTGTGTGTGTGTGTGTGTGTGTGTGTGTGTGTGTGTGTGTGTATTGCAGTGGGTAGGAGAATTGGGGTATGAAGCATTGGCTAAAGTAAAGATTATTAAGTCTCAACCATGTGTGCCTATTATATAAGGTTTATTGAAATCCACGGTATTATCCTATGGAACCCTCATTTAAAGATGAAGGAGCTCTTTGGAAAGTCAAGGGTATTTGATAATGGGGAAGCTCTCAAAGTGTTCGCCTCACTCAACCATTGATTTCTTTCCCCTTTTTCTTCTTTTTTCTTTCCCTTTCTTTTCACTCCTCTTTCAGTCTCTGTGGCCCTGGTGGGCTGGGTTTATTATTTGACTAGTTTGTTTGGTTTTTATTTCCCCTTCCCTGTTCCAGGTGTGGAATCACAACCTTAGCACAGTAGCATAGAGCACTTGGTAAAGGACACATCTATGAAGGAGCAAACCCACTCCCGGCATTGCTAACCCATATAAAGCTAATCAAGAACAAATAAACAAATGGGGCTCTCAGGCTGTAGAGGAGATTCTGACAGGGTCACTGCTACGGAAATAACAATATAAATGAGTACAGGTCCATTTTGTGTATAAAATTATTGTCCACTGGTGTTTTGTTCTCTTTCTATCACTTTGAAACCTGTGGGCAATTGGGAGTCTTAGGTTCAATTAATTAAAGAGATCCACATACCTTGAAAAGGAATGAAGGAATAAGTGCAAGTTTGTTTAAAAGGCTTTTTGTATACTTCACAGTGGCAACTGGAGCTAATGCATAAAAGGTTTTGATTCTTTCAGCCAGCTTGGGTTTGGTAGAAAAGGCAATAAAACCTGAAATAGAACAAGGAATCAGTGAGGAAGAAATGTGCGTTCTGTTTGTTTTTACAAGTGTGGCATTTCTTGGACTTACTAAAAGTGACATCTAAGACAATCTAAGAAATGGACATCTCTGCTGGCTAAAAGTGATCAGATTTTAGTATATTTGTTTCATTTTCATAGATTCTCTATGGGGCCATGAGGTTGAAACTTTAAAAAAGTTATAATAAGCTTATCTGACCTTAGGCCAAATTTAGTATAATCACTTGGTTTCAAAAATGGTTATTTATACCACCTATAGGTTTTGGTAAATTTAAGTTCATCTTATCTCATCACAATGAGATAACTAATTAACACAAGATGAGTAGAATATATAAGTGGAAAGGTTAAAAGCAGATGTTTAAAACATGACCAAACTAGCAGGGCACAGTTGCTCATGCCTGTAATCCCAGCACTTTGGGAGGTGGAAGTGAGAGGATTCCCTGAGTCCAGCCTGGGAAACTTCGTGAGACCTCGTCTTTACAATAAATCAAAAAATTAGCCAGGCAAGGTGGTGTGCGCCTGTGGTTCTAGCAGCTTGGGGGGCGAGGCGGAAGGATCACTTGAGCCCAGCAGGTCGAATTTGTGGTGGCCATGATTGCGCCCGAGTGACAGAGTGAGACTCTGATTCAAAAACAAAACAAAAAACTGGATTTGACCTGGTTCTGTTATTTATTAACTTTGGGACCCTAGACAAGTCACCTACACTCCAGGAACCTCTATTTCTCATCTGAATTATTAGTATAGTAATGAGTGCTTCAATAGTTTGTTTAGGAACTAAAGGAAGCAAATGTTGTGAAGAATTTACCCTGACACTTGGCACATAGTAAATTCTTGATAGATGAGTAACCAAGAGAATTCAAACATCTACATCTATACCCAATACATATGTTTAGTCCCTGTCTGTAATTAATTGGTTTTATGGACAGTAGCATATAAACAGACTAGGGTGTGATCAAGTAGCTATTAAGTTAAACTCTCTATAGTTTACCTGTGTAGAACAAGCCCTCCCTCTCATTCTTAATAATGACATATTGATGAGACTCAAGAATAGCCTGAAAAAACTTTCAGATCAGACAATGATCTATATAATCTATATTCTATATAATAGTCAGTCTAATTTTAGTTGATAAAGAATAGTTTCTACAAGTAACATTGTATTTATTAAGGGGTTCTCTATCTGGTTGCCTCCATTTTGTAGATTACAGCCAGAAGATAACTCAAAAGAAACCAAGAAACCAAAGCTCACACATGAGTAGCCTGAGTGAATATCAACAGAGCCACATACTGCCAGGATAGTGACTTCTCAAGTGTCTGTTCAGAATCAGTGTCATCCTATTTCAAATACAGTTCTTACCAGGCAACTTATCTACCCTCCCAGTACACAGAAGATTGGAAGATATAAATCTGAAGGCAGAAACAATTTCTGGATATTTGTGAGCATAGAGACAGCAATGAAAAAATGTCCACCAGTTAGAAAGAACAATGGAAATGTTCAAAATTAAATAACTCAAAAGAGTAGTAGTTAGTGTTATTTGGTGTCAGAACGGACAGTTCTACTTACCTCAAAATATAAGGAAACTGTTGCATTGCCTCTCAATGCAATAATTCTGTAACCCTAGATCATCAAGAAAGGGTTAAACTGTGTTCACTCGGTGACATTTACGAAGTCAGAGAAGTATGCCCTAGGTGGATACAGACATCTGTCCAAATATGGTTACATTTTTGAAAATTGAAGGAGTAAATTTTAGTCTAAATTTTACCCTTTATGACAAACGATTGTGAGTCAAAGTTTACTATGTGTCACTGATGCTTTGCTGCCCAGACCCCTTCAAGTCTGAGGCATTTATTCAGCCCCAGTCTCAGGGAAGGTTGTGGCTGACTGCTCTCAGCTGTGATCCCTCTGGGGCAGACTCTGAAGCACTGTATCATACTGAATCAGCTGAGGTTTTTAGGGTGGACTGCTTCACAGCTCAGCTTCTCCCTCTGCTAGTCCTGCTGTTTGCCCTTTCTCCTTTAAAAAATCTTTCTTTACAATACATCCTGAGTGCTAACCATCATCTCCTTGGGAATCTGACCTATAACACAATGACAAAGACATTGGGAAACTCTACCCCACTGAACTTTTTCTCTGTCTAAAACTCTACAGTTGAGATCTATGCTTTAGGAAGAATGAATCGTTCTCAAGATAATTTTCTCAAGCGCCTACCATCAACTTCAAACACTTTCCTGCATGGACGTTCTGCTTGCTTGGAAGCAAGTCCATCAGCTGATAATAAGAGTCGGCATAAAAATATGCAGTGATTACTCTCATGTGACCCCTTATCTCCCTCTTCCTTCATCCTTTTCTCTTTCACAGTGTCTCTCATGCTCTCATGAACTCATTTGGTTATGCTTTCACCCCAGCCACTCCACCAAAGGTGCTGTTATAAAATTCCCCTATGACTTCTAGGCTGCTAAATCCAACAATCGGTTCTCTGACTTTATTACCAGTAACCTTTTCCACAGTTGACCGGATTCTGCTTAAAACCCTTTCTTCTCTTGATTTCCAGAACACCAGATGCTTCTTGCTGACCCATACCAATGTCATCATTATTTCTTAGTTTCTTTTCTTGATTCTTCCTCATCTTCTAAATAAAAAGCAGCCCGGGGTTTATTTAGTTTTTGAACTTCCTCCTCTTTCTGTCTGAACTCACTCATTTGTACTGATGAGTCATGTACTGATGACTCCTGTTTTGTATTTTGAGCACTCTGCTTTCTCCTGAACTCCAGATTTTTGTGTATAATTGAATGCCTGACACATTCACCTGAATCTCTGATAGGCACTCAACACTTAGCAGTCCCAAACTGAGCTCCTGCTTACCTGATTCCATCTACAGTCCTGTCTTTCCATCTTGGTTAGTGACATCTCCATTATCGCACGTGCTCAGACCACAAACTCTGACATCATCCTTGACTCTTTTTTCTCTTACACCTTATATCCAATATGTCAGCAAATTCTGTTGGCTCTATCTCCAAGACATATCTATATCTATATCTATCTATATCTATCTATCTATCTATCTATCTATCTATCTATCTATCTATCCATCTAGAACCTGACCAAGTTTCATTACCTCCACAGCTCCATCCCCGCATCCAGGTCGCCACCCTCTCTTGCATGGGTTGCTGTAAGAGTTCTCTAATTGGTTCTCTGCTCCAGCCCTTTCCCCCTCAGCAACAGAAGGGATTCTGTTATGAATCATGTAAACCACTACTAAAATTATTCTGTGGTTTTCTTTTTCATTCAGAGTGACCGTGAAAGTCTACAATAACCAAGAAGTCCTGAACAGTATGCCTTCTCCAATCCCTGTATCTCATCTCACTCTCTCTGCCTTGATCTCACCATCAATCTGATTCATCCACACAAGGAATCACCTCATTGCTGTTTCTTGAACAAAGTGTATCTGCTCCAACTTCAGATTCTTCACATTTGCTTTTCTCTCTTTCTGGAGCATCATTCTGCCAAGAATGCACATGAGTCGCTCCTGACCTCCTTCATGGCTTTAGCCCAGAGAGCGTTGGTTTGTGTTACCTATCCAAAACTGCTGTGAACCCCTCTGATGCTCCCTAATGTCATTCCCTTCGTTATTTTCTTTCCATAGCATTAGGGTTATCTAATAGAATCTATAGTTTACTTGTTAATCTTTGTCATTTTCTTTGCCTCCTACCACTAGAGTATAAGTGGTACAGGGAAGAAATTTTAACCTATTTTATTTATTACTGTATTCTTTGGCTGCATCATAGATGCCTCATAAATATAGCTGAATAAATAAAATAAACACAGTCCAGAGGCTGTATGGTACAGTGTTTCAGAGCATGGGCTTGGGAGTCAGATTGCCTAAGCTGGTATCTGAGCCACCCTCTTGGAAATAGCCCATGTTATCTTGCACAAATTATTTATCCCCTTGGTTTGTTTTCCCATACGATAGGAATGATTATTGTCCTTACATCCTTGGTCTGTTGTAGACATTAAATGAATGGAAACCAATTAGTGTGGTTGCCAGCATGCCACCACACTAACTTGGGAAGGGGTATATGAGAACCAGTCCACTTGGCCTTGACTGCCTCTACCTACCAATGGTCGTGCCCTGGGAATGGCCCACATAGTTTATCTTCTTCTGTCCGGTTTTCTTTACAATGAAGTCAATTGTGGCTGGAAGGTCATATTTAGCCATTTCATCAAAACTGTAAGAAAAAAATGACAAAATGAAACTAATTACATTTTCTTGCTATAGTTTCTAAAATTTAAGTACTTATGGCTAAGGTTCCCTTTGGGGACCAGAAAACTAGATCCTCTAAACATTGCTGCTTATAGATCATTAGTGAGGGTCAGGTGCCCTTTGAACCTTTGGGGTGGCTTCTTGTAAACAACTGACATACTTTCCGAAGCACTGCATTGCAACTGCAATTGAATCCAAACAAGACAGTATCTGCAGGTGGGAATTATTTCTAACCCCAAAATGGAATGTCAGATTTAATAATCATTTGTATGCTGTGTTCCAGTGCCATTTAATGAATCCTATCCCTCTCTATTTTATTCTTCACAAATCAGCCAGGATAATATTTTGAAAGTGAAAACTGGATTATGCCACTCCCCTGTTTAAAACTTTTTGGTAGCTTCTCATTGCACTTATAATGAGCTCCAAGGAGCTGAAAATTGTCATCCTATGTGAACTGCCTCAGAAAGAGAAAGCCAAACACTGCATGTTCTCACTCATATGTGGGAGGTAAATGGCCACAAAGATGGAAATAATAGACCCTGGTAACACCAATGGGGGGGGGGTTGGGAGGAGACTTAGGGTACAGAAATTGCCTATGGGGTACAACGCTCACTATTTAGGGAATGGGCCACCTGAGACCCAATCCCCAGCACTGCAAGATATGTCCAGGTAATGAACATGCATGTGTACCTTCTGAATTTAAAATAAACATGACAAAAAGAATGCGCGCTAAGTTCCTCACCACCGCCTACACAGTCCTGCCGAATCTGACCCTCCTCAGCACCTCTGCCATTTATCATGTCACTCTCCCTCTCCCTCACCACACAGGATATACAGGTTTCCCTTCAGCTCGTAGACCTCTTGGGAACTTTTGTGCCTCAGCATGTCCAGATTCTCCTCTGCTCTCCACCTCCATCAATAATTTCCAGAAATAAGGCATAAGGAGGGCTATGATAGGAAGCCTATGAGAATCTCTCCATGACATCTGAATGTCGTTCTCCCCACCCCTCCATCTGATTGTGACTCAAGTTGCTGTTCTTCCATCTCCAGGTGGGTTTTAACATCCCTCTTAAATCCATTCGGACGTGCCTTCTGGAATTTGCCAGGGGTGGTGAGTTTCCTTGCTTCAGTCATATTGTTCATTCCATTTGGAAAAATACACTCAGGAATTCCTAATGGTGAGTGGTAAGATCACAGAAAGTCTGAAGGAAAAGCTACCCTTGGAATGAAGTATATGGAAGAATCCAAGAAGGGATTAGAATGAAAGTGACTTCCTGCTTCTACTTGGAGTATACTTTGTTAAAACGGGACTAGATTGGAAGGCAAGGAGGTCGATGCCTTTCAAGTCCAGTGTTTATTTTTACTTGTCCCTTTCCTTTACCTGAAAGCCCAGAATTCAACTGAGTCTGGTGAATAATACAAATTTCTCCTGGCCCAGGTGTTTCCTCTGCTGTTCCCCAACCACACGTCATAACCAGCATCTGCCAGAATGAAGCCCAGGCTGTTGTTGGGAAGGTTTGAAATCCAGTTTGTGGCTGATGTGAGCAAGCCATGCTGCAAAAACACAACCGGTCTCTGGCCTGAAGAAGAAAATTGTTTAAACATTTTGAGAACTTATTCTAAGATAAGCATGAAGATAGAAACAGTCTTTCATATGACTAACATTAACATGCTTGATTGAGTTGAATATTTTTTAATATCTTCTCTTAATTGTGATGATTTCTCAGGTGGTTGGTTTCAGTTATCAGATGGCAAACTTATCAAGCTGTACACTTTAAATGTAAGCCCTTTGTTGTATGTCAATTATACCTCAATAAAGTCACTGAAAAAATTCTGTTCTAAGGAATAGGAAATTTAGCACAATGTTAATTTAGGAGGACTCTGAGTGGTAGTTATGGGTAGTCTATTTTTTTTTGAAATTTACCATTTTTCTACAATGAGAAAGAGATAAATTTTTAATAGTACTAATGGAAAATGGCCTTTATCTCTTTGGGAAATGGGTCCCGAATTGCTTCATCTCCCCTCTGCAATGCACACCCTGGCTAACACTTTCTAACCCTCTGACTCTCTGCTCAGTTATTGTCTCTGAGAGCAAGTTTTCTTAACTTCCCCTAGCTGGCTTTGGTGCTTTTAGTGGGATGTTCAGTTTAATATTCTCACACAGTTGTAGCACTAACCTTATTGCATATTACTAGGATCATCTGTTTATCTATCACATTGGCTTAATAGTGATAGCCTTGAAGATTGGAAATATAGCTTAGTCATAGTTGCATTTCCAGAATGAACAAGACTTATTAAATCCTAGGGAGAAATAAAAGGAGGAAAAGGGGAGAACAAAAAAAAAGGGGGGAAAGATGGGGGAAAGGATAGAGGACGAAAAGGAGAGGGGAAGAAAGAAAGAAAGGAAAAAATGGAGGAAGAAAGGAGGGAAGAAAGTTACATATACCTTTATTTTCCGAATTTTTCTTCCCATAAGGAATTCTGTATACCCCAAGGATATAACCGTCTTCAGTCACAACTTCATATTTCTCACTTGGGTATCCCCAGTAAGAAATCATCTGACTCTGGTGAATAAAATCCAAAACTTTACATTTTAGTTGACTTTTTTAAATTGCATCTAATAAATACTGCTAAGTTTTATTTAATTTTAATTTTATTTTAAAGATGTGGAGTACAAGTCAGGTCAGGATTAGGTATACAAGTGGTCATTGTGCAGGTAAAGTTTGGGTGTCCTTTTTGTCCCCACTTCACCTGGTTTGATATCAGGTGCCCTTATTGATGCTATGTGCCCTCCCCAACTGTGCTGCTCATTGAAACTGGACTGGCTAATTTTTTTTTTTTTTTTTAAGAATGAAAAGATTTCTTTAAAAAGAGATCACTTCCCACATTTGGCCATCTGGGGTGCGATCCAATGCCACATGGAAGATGCAGAGAATTGCACAGAAGTTAGATTTTAAAATATAGTTTATTTAAGAGTAAATTAAAGAGAAAAAGAGAAGGGAAAGAGAAGGTTCACCTCTCCAAGGTGGGGGAGAGGACCAAAGCCAAGAAGCATGGTGATAGCCATAGTTCAAAGAGCACATGGTCACACCGGAGTCTAGCAAGCCAATGGTCCTATCTTCAATTGGTCATATACAAGCTTAATCCCACCATGATTCTAAATATCTTTTGATTTTGTAGAGTCTCTCCCAACCCTAGGTACTTACAATATTCATAGTTACTTCAGGGCTCTCAGGATGTAATTTTCCAAAGAGACCATATGTAGTTCCAAGTGCAGATAGCAAACTTGCCACTGTTAAAAGCAACCACATTTTGGGCCTGCCTAAAACAAAAGAATGACCCGTGTCATGGTTACCCTACTACACTTTCATCATATTCATATTTTGTGTCAATTTTACCTTTATGGAAAGTAAAGGAATGCTTGCGTTTGATTTTATTCTATTGGGCAAGAAACTGGGGCATGTGGGTGTCAGCATGAGCACCTTAATGCTTAACATGTTTTCACTGTTTGATTCCTCATGTTCAAAAACATTTCCCACTTGGTTTTTAAGATTCATTCATGTTGAATGAATATTTTTTGGCAAAAACCAAAATAAAAACAAAAGTCTTCTAATTCTCTGGCATAACAAGAATAAGAATAATAACATATTCTTATTATGCTTCATGTTTAAGACTTTTGCCAAATTATTTTGGAAGCCCAAAGTTGGGGTGAAGGACATGTGGGCATTTGACTCCCCTAGATTTACTCTCAGAATAATGTACATTCAAATCTATCATGATGTTTTAAAATTTTATAATAGACACTCCACAAATATTTAATGATTTGAGGTCCTTATGCAAATTTGAAAGCTGCCATCACCTTCTCAGAATGCTATCATAACTAGAGTAATGTGTGAATATAATTTCAGAAAAATTATTGTTTTTAAAATTTTTTGTCAAGTTATTATCTCATTGAAATTCCTCAGGTAAGTCTTGAAAATTATATCAGCAATGCATTGGATAGTCCAATATCTTTTTTAAATAAGTGTTTAACAACAAAAAGGAAAATTAGTATCATGATTTGAAAAGTATCCAAGAGATTTTTCTAATTTAACCCTCTCATATTTTACAAGTGATAAATAACAACTCACTTATCAAATAACAACAATAATTTCAAGTAGACTGAATCAGTGCCACTGTTTAAATAATCAGTCTTGTACATAATTTATCTATCAGAATTGTTAACCTCTGTGTAGTTATAAAGGAATACAGGTCCAGAGCAATGCTAGCCAGGAACAAAATGTGCTTGTTATAAAATGAGTAATTTTTTTTAGATGGAAAGTAACCTAATTGATGAGGGTACAGAATCTAACTCCCCATAAAAGCCAAGTAGTTCCAGCTTAAACTGGTTCTCCCATCTTAAAATGAATTGGTCTTGCTCATCTGCAGGTAGTCCTTAACGCAACTGGCCAGCATTTTCTCTAGGACAATAACTAGGAATTCCATACGGATTTAAATTTAATAGAATTGAACTTGTACTCTATTCAATTTTTACAGTTTGATTGAAATTTCAACTTGTAAACTTTCTTTTTCCAAAGGGCCATTTCTTTAGAACTTCACCTTTTGACCTTATAATAGCAATGATCACTTGTTCTTCAATGCAGACAGTGTTTTTGACGTTAGTCCGTAACACCTAATCTTCTTTTATGTTATAATCACTAACTATAAGTTTGAGAATATTCAGATATTAAGTTGGTGAAAAAACCTTAAAGGAGAAGTGATATTGTCCTCACATATTTGGAGTGCCTTGTGGGGGACAATTTTAAATCAATTCATTTTTAGTGTGTCAGAAATAAATCAGTAAATATTTATTGAAAATTTATTCAATAAATTCTATAAGTTGAGATTACTTATTCTCAATATTTATTGAGAAGTCGCTGCGTGGTAGGAGCAATATTTGGAAGTAGAGATTTGAATTATATACATTAGAGAATGTGGAATTATTAGAAAAGTGGTGACTTTTCAGTTGCTTATAATATTTTAACAAGGGCTGTATAATCATTTATCATAATTTATGCAGAGTACATAGCATAGTTTTTGACTTATGGTAAAGCCAGACTAGAACTCCAGACTTAAATCTGACTCTCTGGTCTAACAGTTTGGTCACTGGTTTAGTATATAATTAAATTTAATGGTGTCTCTTAAAAATGAGTTTTTAGCTAAATCTTGTCTTTACCTTAATATTTTAGGAAGAGACAAACCAGTATGTAAAGAATAACCAGCAGTATTTTAATATTCAAACCAGAGGACTTTGATGAAATATTTCAGGAACCCACAATTTTATAGCCTCTGTTGCCTCCATTAATTAAGTAATTTGTCATTGTGAAATAAGGACACTTAACCTATGGTTTGAGTTATAAGACATCTCAACAACTGGATCATATATATAGGCTCAAAGATGTCAAGGGCAGAAGCAGTTTCTCAAAATGTCTGATGCCAAGTTCTAGAATAATAGCAATACAGAGAGCTCTCACTATGTGCCAGACAGTGTGCTCAACATGTTATGTGTGCAAGCAAGTGATCTTCACTAAGATGGTTTACTCTTCTAGAAAATAGGACCAGAATTCATTATGGTAACAAAAATAAAGTTCTTAACATATCAGGCATCTAGTAAATACTGGATAAAAATGGTTATTATTACCAGCATCTCATTTACTTCTCATAACAACCCCATGAAGTAGGGAGCATGATATTACTCATTTTACAGATTAGTAAGGCAAACCTAAGAGAGGACTTGCCTAACAAGTATATAGAAAGCAACTGAGTCCATATTTGAAGCTAGATTGATTATGTTCTCTTCCACCATAATGCTTCTTTAGTGTAAGCTTAGGCAAGCGTTTATAAGAAATACTTGAGACATTCCCAGAGGGACTTATATAATTTGGTTCAAACGTTTGCTTTAACAGGTTTATCATTTAAGTAAATGTATGAATAACCTATGAAGTTTAACAATAGCATTAATAATGGATAATTCAACAGCAGTTGATTCGGATGATATTAAATTATTCAGCATAGCATGTAAATATGGCCAATTCATTGACACTGGAAGACTGGCCTATTGCTTTCAGAAGGAAGAATAAGAGAGTGCCCTCACATTTAACACTCATTACAATAATAAACAGACCTATCATCAATAATTAAGAATTTCATGTACATACAAAAAATAAACGAGAAAATAAATAAAATACCAGAGTAATAAACAATTCAAACAGATGCATTTATATAGGTAGATGTGCAATAAATATCTAAGCCTTTAAAATGCAAAATAACAATTTTGTTCAGCAGATGCTATACTTACGTGTCCTCAGAAATAGAATTATGTTTCTCTGAACGCTTAGTATTTTGGTTAATGTTGCATTTACTTCTTATATACTAAACTTCCAACAATGGACAGAATTACTTATCCACTGATTAAATTGCCAAAAAGCCTTAATATCTGGACATCATCTAATGTTAAAAGGACAAAATTAAAAATCAAATATGGCACTCACTTTCACAAAATATTGAGTTCCCACCTTTAGCTTTTGACAAACCCAAATATTGGCCAAAGGAGTTCTGATGATTAAAAATGATTTAGAAAACAATACAAATTATTCTTGATAGCTTAAACATATAAAAACTGTTGAGCCAAAGGTATAATGCAAATGATTATATAGTTTGGCTCAGATAAAATGGTCTTAGAAGACAAAAGACCACCTCTTATTCTTTAAAAATATAAGGCATAAACTATTGTGACTAGCTAGTTAGATAAGCAAATTTGTTCAGCAAAGGTTAATGTTTTATTATGGTTTTTTAATCAAGGTCTCTAACCTTGCAGATAATGGTCTAGCTAATAGGCAAAACCCAGTCCCTCACCTTTAAGAACATATGGGTAGTGCCCTTTTTAATATAGGAAATCTATCAGCTAGAGTTTGAAAAATATGAAAGTATTTATAAATGAATTGTGCAACTAAAAAATTTATACTTAAAAGTACAGTTAATCCTTTATAATCATCATGAACATCTGTAGCTCATGGGGAAAGAAAAATAAAACTATATTTTGACTTGCTAAAATGTTTTACAATTTATTATTAGAATTTCTTTTGCTTATTAGTATTTAAAAACCTAGCAGAAATTGTGAAGAAATAATTATTGCTGAAAAGATCAAAATGGAAAGCTATAATTTGATCCCTTCCAACCAAGCAGCTCAGTACAACTAATTGGAGTTGCAGTGTTTGAATAAACTAGGAAAAAGTCAGGATATATAAATACTATGTGTATTTAAACATTTTTAAATACTAATATCCCACCTGCACTCAACTCTGGTTGATGGAAATTGACAATAGCAAAGTTTCAAAAGGGAAAGATGGCAATGCGTTCTCATAAGAGTCAACATGGAAAGGAAGACTTTTGCTTTTCTAATGCGATTTGAATGAACTTCACTAGCAGATAGGAAGTAGATTAAGCATATTTCTTCATGTTGTTGTTTTCACAGATTTGAGCAAGAAGATGCAAAGTTGTCCTTTTGGCTTTTTACTGCTATTGAAGATTATTTGGAGTTTGAGTCTTTAAAAAATGAACATCCTAGTAGCCTTTGAAAGGGATCTATGATCCTTAGTAAGGGATAATGCAGCCAAACAACCCAACATGCTCCTGCTTCTTTACAAATACCTTAAACTCTGATTCACGAGGGATAATGTAAGTAGTCATATGATCTACTAAGAGGGATTTGTTTCCATTTTGCAACATAGACTAAGGTCTATGAGAAAACATGATGCTTTCTCTGCCTTGGTATCCTTTTCCCCACCCTTTTTCATTGGTCTTTAGTTCTCAGCATTATTTCTCTGAGGAAGACCACCGTGGCACTGTTCGTCATCCAATGATATTGAACTCAGGATTTTTACATACATTACCATGAAATCCTATAGTTACCTCTGCTACAGGACTTATTACTAGATAGGCCATTTCACTCTTCTCTAGGACGTGCACACACACAAACTCCTTAAGTACAAAGACTGCAATTTGTTCACTCGCTATTATGTCCTCAATGCCTAGGAATTGCCTGAAACAAAGTACAAGGGGGTACTCAAAAAATCCAGAATTTATTTATACAAAATTGTGCATTTATTCTTATATATTTAAACTTCAGTCACCTTCAAAGTACTCTTCGTTTGATACAATACACATATCGAGACACTTTTTCCACAGATTTTGAACTCGTCAATTTTGTCGTTTTTTTATTTCACTTTTTCCACACTGGCAAAACATTTTCTTTTGAGGACTTTGTCTCACAGCGGAAACAAAAAAAAAGATTGTCCAGGGCAAGATTGGGTGAATAGGAAGTGTGGGGCATGAGGTCATACCATTCAGCATGGTGTGGCCAGATGTACTTGTAAATCATTCATCATGAAATGGGCAAATGTGTTGGAAGACTCTCCAGAAAAAAATTCACTGAAGCTAATGCAGCCTCTCACAACAATGCTAGCTGGTACACTGATACTGATGGATTTCTAGACCACTTACTTAGTGGGGGAATCCTGTACTGCAAGGAGCCCACCCTCCAAAAGATGATTTTTTGGGGGGAGGAGGGATCCTCCTTCATACATGATCAAATATTTGATTTAAAATGTTTAAAGAAAAAATAATTTCAAAATCATCTACACACACTTATGCATAGGCACACCAAATGTATACTTTGCAGTAGTAAACTATTTGATGGAGATTTTTAAAAATTTGTGTGATTAATTAAGTGGAAGTATAACATAAAGAAGGATATCTAAATATATGTGAGAAAAATATATATGTAATAGAGTTTGTTATCTATTTCTGATGCCAATGATGAAAACTTTTGGTAAGAATAATAGAAAAGAATTTATAAGCTTCTGACAAAAATACATAATTTAAAAATTGTGAAAACTGTTTTATGGAAACCACCTTGGTTCCAAGATATCTGAGAGAGAAATTAGCAAACACAATTGACGCATTTAATGTTTGAGGCTCTAATGAGGACAAATGAAACATACATCTAGTATGGAAACGCTTTTTAAATCAGGTTGCAGTGGTAAAAGGTCAAGGGCAGGAGAAATGATTATACCTACAGAGCCAGACATTGTATGATTCTAGGCAAATTGCTTATTCACTGGGCCTTAATTTTTGTAATAAACTTTGTAATAATAACATTACTTACCCAACTACTTGATAAATTTGTCTTATAAATGACCTTATTCCTTTTGTTGCTTGTTACTTTTTACTCAAGATTCAAGATTCACTTCAAATGTCACCTCCACAGTGAGGACTTCTCCAAATTGACCAGCAATTCATTCTTCCCCTGGTTGTCCCAGGTCTTCATCTGTACCATGCTGTTAGCACTTTCTGTGTTTGGAATATAGGCTATCTGTTTTCCCATCTTGACTGTATATAATGAATGAAAGATTGGCTGTATTAGTAAATTAATATACGAATAGAGATCAACAGAGATAATACATTAGTAAGTACTTTGAACAATTTAAATAACTGGGGAAATAAATATAAAATAGTATTATCGAGAGTATTTTGTGTTAGCTTTACTGAAGAAACAGCAAGAGCCTCAAAAGAGTCCTAGACTTCATAGGCAAATGCTATTGTTTATGTAATGTGAATATTACCTTTTGTTTTTGACATGCAGAAGAATAGCATATGTCCAAGTATGGGCTTTGGGGTAAAACTGATTAAGCTCAAATTTTTATGCTACCACCCACTTCTTGTATTAATTTATATCAATTTTAATTTCTCGTTTCTTCATTTATAATAACAGAATAGCAGTTTCTACCTCTCAGATGGTTGTTGTTAAAAATTAAATGAGACAATTTAGATAATTTATACTGTGTACTTAGCATAAGGTATAGCGTAGATGCTCAGTAAATGGAACTTTTTATTTTTATAATGAACGTGTTGACTAATTTCTCAATTCCTCATTTATCCATTGAGCAAACATTTATTGAGTGCCTACTGCATGCTCAACACTGCTTCAGGAGCTAGATATAGTATTTTAAAAGGCAAAACAGACTCCTACCCTGTAAGAGCTTTCATTTTAGGATACAGGGAGATAACCAATAAAGAAATGGATGAAAGGAAGAGTACTGTGAAGAAATAGTGGCGTGAAAGAAAATAAGCAGAGTGCATCGCTTAGGAGGCGGTAGCTAGGGAAGGCTTCTCTCAGGAAGTACCTGGAACCTAAATGACAAGAAGAAACAAGCCTTGGGAAGAGCCCATGAAATGCATTCCACGTAGAGGAAAGAGCAGGTCCAAGGCCATGAAGTGGGAAATGACTTGCCATGTTCAATGGTTGGAGAAGAGGACAGTGCATGGTGGAAGCACAGGGCACAAGAGTGAGAGTGGTATAATGTAATGTTAGAAAGGCAGATGGGACTAGGTAATGTAGTTCTTTTTGTCCATGATTAGGAGCTTTGATCTTTGTCTTAAGAGGAACAGAATGCATGAAAGGATTTGAAGCAGAGGAGTGACATAATATATGCTTTAAAAAATTAATCTGGAGGCTGTGTAAAGAAGGGAGAAAGACAGGAAAGAATGAGAATAGGTAAACCAGATAGGAGCTTTTGCAGTGTTCTAGTTGAAAGATAATTATTCTTTGATCAGAATGATAGTAAAGAAGGTAATAAAAATTGATGGTATCTAAAGGATAAGATCACTTAAAAATGTAGCTCTCAATTTGACTACGTATTAGAATTCCCTGGGGAACTATTAAATACAGTTGGACAGCTGAATCCCAACCCTGGTCAATTGAACAAGAAGCACTAGGATGGTAACTCAATATCAACATCTAAAACAAAAACAAAAACAAAACCTACTTTTATGTTAGTTCTGATGCATTCATGTGAACTGGGAACCGCTGACCCAGGAAGTGAATGTAAATAGAGAAGAGAAAGTGACCCCATGTTGAGCTCTAAGACATTACAATGTTTAGAGACCTAAGATCCCTAGCAAAGGGAACTGATAAGGAGCAGTCAGGAAGGTTGTAAATTGACAGATGAGGTATCCTCAAGAGCAGAAAGCATTTTAAAAGCATGACTAACTAGTGTCAGTCAGTGTTACTAAGATGTCAAGCATGATAAGGACATAGTGTTCTAAAATTTATTTATTTTTCATTGATGCATAATATAAACACAGTATAGTGTGCACATCTTAAGTACTCATTTTGATTATGTTGTGTACATGTACACACTGGAGTAACCACCATTCAGGTCAAGATGTGAAACATTTCTAACACCCCATAAGGATCTTTTGCTCTCCTTCCTAGTTCACATCACCCTCACTTCCAGTAGGAAACCACCTTTCTGATTAAATAGTCATGAATTTATTTTGCCCAGTTTTGAATTTCTTATAAATGAGATCATACAATATGTATTCTTGCATCTGA